CCCCCCCCCTGACTATGGCTAATGTCAACATTATAACGTGTACACTGTACTCAATGCGACCTTGGTCCTTGACCAGGCTCAACAGAATCCACACTAAGTGTTCAACAACATCTTGACTTACATCTGGCCCATAGTCCCACTTGAAGTGGTCACATACTGAAACGAACATTTGTTGGTATCTACACGTTGAGAGAGATATTTGCGTGGATGTGACAAGTCACTTATGTGTGTGTGTGTGTGTGTGTGTGTGTGTTTGTGTGTGTGTGTGTGTGTGTGTGTGTGTGTGGTTATAACAAGTCAGTTGTTTACTATCAACTTCATAAAACCATTTCAAGTTTAGTTCCCTTACAGTAACACGGCGTGTAACGTCTACTCCTCCTGGCATGTAAGCATTCATTGTATTATTATTTACGTAATAAGTCATGGCATTTATGCCTGGTCACAAAGTAAGCAAACATAATATTTATACCTGGTAATAAAGTAGGCAATCATATTTATGCCTAGTTTTGATGTAAGTAATCAATACTTAATATTTCAAATGATCTACGCTATTTCGCACGACCCACGCTATTTCGCACGACCCATTACGGTGAATGCCACGTAGGCGCTATTGAAATAAAAACACACTTTAAATGGTGTTAATCTGTCAAGATCCATAATATTTGAAAGAACGCAAGCCAGATGGATGTCTCGTTCGCCGATATCGTGAAAACTGACGGCATTCGATGGTTTCTTCAACAGTTCATTGGGATAAAGCTATTTAAGCCACGGCAACGCATTATGTTTTCGTCTGTTATTCACTTTAAAAAAAAAAAAAAGAATAGGCCACAAATATTAACTTGTCCTAATCAGATCCGGAGAAAATTCACTATAAAATATCACCATTGTTTCGTTGATAGAAGCATAACCATAAGCATTGCAGTTAACAGTTATGTTGACATAGAGCCACGCAAAATGCGATTATGCCAGAGAAAGCTCCTCTTCCATACCAGGCGCCAGAGGCGTAGCGAGGGGGTGGCAAGGGGGGACAGATGTCCCCGGGCGCAAGCTAGTTAGGGGTGCCAAAATGTGCTTTGATATTATATTATTGGTAAAAATAATGGGTTTGAGAGTTGAAAAAAATGAAAAAGGGGCGCTTTAAAATGGATCTTGTCCCGGGGGTGAATCTTGTCCCCCGGGCGCCAAACACCCTCGCTAGGCCTTTGCCAGGCGCAGAAACATCGCGAATCCCCTCTACATACATAGGAGCCAGAATGTTCAAGACATTGATCGTGGGGCCTAAGGTATAGAAGAAAAATTAAACGTTGTGTAGCTAGAGTCACACATAATGCAATTAATGTTTTGTGTTGTCCTGACGCCGTACATTTAAAAACCGTTATGGTGCCATGGGTGTCCCAAATAAATAAATAAAATGTTACAGGGAGTCTCATCATGGAGACATATTGGGTCTGTTCGGCGTTCGTTTGATACAACTATTATCTTGAGTCTTATTTGTAGGAACTTTGTGTTTTTTAGTTAGTTGTCCAGTGTCTTTAGCCCTCGATATCATATGCACTCTTTCCTCTGTTAAATGTAATCAAAATAATCAACGTTTGATTTTGTGGTCTCAAACTGGACTGGTTACAGCTCACGTCCCGCCATGACACATTTTAAAAAAATCATCACTTCAGAGGTGAACGTAGTGCCAATGACCAGCTCTACATCATGAAACAATGGTGTTGTTGAAAAACCTCAAATATTGCAACTCTTGGTGTGTTGATAAACCTTACACAGTGCAACAATAGGTGTGTTCATAGATCATCATCACCGTGTCCCTTAGTCCTTGGACCGTTGGGGCGCCACAGATGACATGAAAACTCTCCTTCATAGATAGATGCATTGAAAAAAAGAAAATGAATTAAAAAATTTTTTTTGTTAAATCTCCGTTTCTTTGGAGCGTTCATTTTCGTGCCAAAATTAGTTTGATTATAAATTGCCATGAAAAGATGTGTAAACTGTAAGCTAAAACATCCTTGACATTAGTCCACAAATTGATGTTCAAAATTGTTCCATGGTCCATGGGATGTTAATTGGTCAACACAATTACGTGTGTGCCCTATGCCGTATGTGTGTGCCCCATGCTGTATGTGTGTGCCCTATGCCGCATATGTGTGCCCTATGATCTATGTGTGTGCCCTACGCGTGTTCCCTATGATCTATATGTGTGCCCAACGCCCTATGTGTGTGCCCTATGCCCTATGAGTGTGTCCTATGTGTGTGCCCTATGATCTATGTAAGTGCAGAGTTTGAGACACACTGTCAAGCATCGACTATCTACAAATCTTAACTCCCCGACCGATTTACAAGCAAACGTAACCCCCCCCCCCTTCCCACGGACCCCCACCCCTCTACACACAGGAACTGAAGTAGGCCCCAGGTATCTACGTAACCCAGGCTGGTAGATCGGTTCATTATCTGGGAGTTCTTAACCCCTAGAGGCGGGCAGGTGTGTTTCGACACGGTCATTGCCAATGAATGGCTTTCAATCGAGGAAATAGAGCCACTTTTTCCTGTACGTATTCACACACTCTCCCACACGGCCGGACTACCATTCCTTTGTAAGTAATACTTGCATGTAGTTAGGCTGTTCGCCCTGACGGCTCTCGTAGGCGCATGTGATGTGTAAACATAAAGTCATACAGTCAGATGTTACAGAAGATTTCGATGTGTGTTTTTTCCCCCCTTCTTATTCAATTGGATGCAGTGAATCAGTCAATTCGGTGTTTAATTCAAATGTAAATGTTTGCCCATATCAATTTATTTTCAGAATATTTGTAACGAGAGGTGAACTGTTTGGGAATTTTGACAATAGCGCTTTTCCGATTGTCTCGTTCTTTAAAAGTATTTTTTTTTAAAAATAAATAATCAAAACCTAACCACATCTCACTTACTGGTAAAGTGCAATCGTTCATTGCAGATCGTTCTTGATCTTATGACTGTACCGTCACCTCAGCCCAGTCATCAATACATTCATCTCAGTACAACGCTGACCACGCATGGTCACAGAGGAGTTATCGATCTTGGCCCATGAGCTGCACCAATATAACGGCCATCAAACAAACTAATTAATGCAAGGTCGGCCTGCAGTAGGAGAATATTAATCAAAGCCCCCCAAGGTCAAGGTCTCCCCTGGTCCTGGCTACCAGACAGCAGTCTCACCACATTTGATCGGGGTAAGTTTTCCCTTTATGGCCAAGTTTGACTTTCTTCTGTGGAAACTGTTTTTGTCCCAAATTGATGATCATGTCCAACTGTTGATTGTGTTACCTAATTCAGTCCGAATAGTTGACAGCCGTGGTGTCAGTCTCAATGGTTTGATAACCGTGGTGTCAGTCTGAATGGTTTGATGGCCGTGGTGTCAGTCTGAATGGGTTGAGGGCCGTGGTGTCAGTCTGAATGGTTTGATAGCCGTGGTGTCAGTCTGAATGGTTTGATAACCGTGGTGTCAGTCTGAATGGTTTGATGGCCGTGGTGTCAGTCTGAATGGTTTGATGGCCGTGGTGTCAGTCTGAATGGTTTGATAACCGTGGTGTCATTCTGAACGGTTTGATAGCCGTGGTGTCAGTCTGAATGGTTTGATGGCCGTGGTGTCAGTCTGAATGGTTTGATGGCCATGGTGTCAGTCTGAATGGTTTGATAGCCGTGGTGTCAGTCTGGATGGTTTGATGGCCGTGGTGTCAGTCTGAATGGTTTGATGGCCGTGGTGTCAGTCTGAATGGTTTGATAGCCGTGGTGACAGTCTGAATGGTTTGATAGCCGTGGTGTCAGTCTGAATGGTTTGATAGCCGTAGTGTTAGTCTGAATGGTTTGATAGCCGTGGTGTCAGTCTGAATGGTTTGATAGCCGTGGTGACAGTCTGAATGGTTTGATAGCCGTGGTGACCGTGGTGGCATTCTGATTGGTTTGATGGCCGTGGTGGCAGTCTGAATGGTTTGATGGCCGTGGTGTCAGTCTGAATGGTTTGATGGCCGTGGTGTCAGTCTGAATGGTTTGATAGCCGTGGTGTCAGTCTGAATGGTTTGATAGCCGTGGTGACAGTCTGAATGGTTTGATAGCCGTGGTGTCAGTCTGAATGGTTTGATAGCCGTAGTGATACCTGGTGAAGTGCAATCGTAAACTGCAAATCGTTGAATGGTTTGATGGCCGTGGTTGATGCATCACATGAGCTTACGGACGTCAGCCTAATATTAAAATATTTTTAAATTGAGATTGTCCAGTGACCGTTAGCAAAAGCATGGTGCTGAGATGGTGTGTTTAGGCGTGGTGCTGAGATGGAGTGCTGAGATGGGGTGTTGGGATGGAGTTCTGAGATGGGGTGCTGAGATGTAGTGCTGAGACGGAGTGTTGAGATGGGGTGCTGAGGTGGAGTTTTTAAATGGGGTGCTGAGATGGAGTGCCACAATGCCTAGAAGATTGACTTGATTTCTCTGGTGATCGGAACAAAAATCACAGGAAAAAAAGTCACTTTTTTCCTGCGACTTTGGCTTTTTTGTCTTAGTGTTATTTATTTTTTTCTGTGACTTTGGCTTTTTTTTTCTTAGTGTTATTTATTTTTTTCCTGCGACTTTGGATTTTTTTTTCTTAGTGTTATTTATTTTTTCCTGCGACTTTGGCTTTTTTTTCTTAGTGTTATTTATTTTTTTCTGTGACTTTGGCTTTATTTTCTTAGTGTTATTTATTTTTTTCTGCGACTTTGGCTTTTTTTTCTTAGTGTTATTTATTTTTTCCTGCGACTTTGGCTTTTTTTTCTTAGTGTTATTTATTTTTTCCTGCGACTTTGGCTTTTTTTTTCTTAGTGTTATTTATTTTTTTCTGAGACTTTGGCTTTTTTTTTCTTAGTGTTATTTATTTTTTCCTGCGACTTTGGCTTTTTTTTCTTAGTGTTATTTATTTTTTCCTGCGACTTTGGCTTTTTTTTTTTTATTGTTATTTTTTTTTTTCTGGGACTTTGGATTTTTTTTTTTTTGTGTTTTTTTTTTTTTATTTTTTTTTTTTTTTTGTGTCTTTGTTTTTTTTTTTTTTTGTTTTTTTTTTTTTTTCCTGCGTTTTTGTTTTTTTTTTCTTTGTTTTTTTTTTTTTTTTCTGTGTCTTTTTCTTTTTTTTTCTTAGTGTTATTTATTTTTTCCTGCGACTTTGGATTTTTTTTTCTTAGTGTTATTTATTTTTTCCTGCGACTTTGGCTTTTTTTTCTTAGTGTTATTTATTTTTTTCTGTGACTTTGGCTTTTTTTTCCTTAGTGTTATTTATTTTTTTCTGCGACTTTGGCTTTTTTTTCTTAGTGTTATTTATTTTTTCCTGCGACTTTGGCTTTTTTTTCTTAGTGTTATTTATTTTTTTCTGTGACTTTTTTTCCAGGCAATTATTTTCTATATACTACTGCGTCTTCAACATGTGTGTCCGGAAAATGTTTGCACATATGGAAGCGCAAATTGATTCAGGTTGGCTTGACCTGCCCCCCACCCCAATCCTACGCCAACTGCAGCCCACCCACGTGACTGCACGCCGCCACTGACAGAACATTTTTGTCTCGTCTTAAATTGTATTGAAACCCCCTAGCCAGTGTTTTTTTTTGAACGTGCTGTATCACGATAGGCTTAGTTTCTGCGTTCAATCTGTGACCAAGGAAATGCCGAGTCTTGAAATGAGAGGACATGACGCTAAAAGGAGAACGTTTCGGCTAAACGCCTGCTTCGGAAAAACAGGAAACCACAAATAAATAGAAACGAGTTTTAAAAAGAAAACTTGAGCGTCTGTCGTTGGCTGTGTTGGAGGGAAGTGAAAATGTGTGTGTGGGGGGGGGGGGGGGTTGGGAACACCGTAGTGCTGCCGGACGGCGTCGGCATATCAGTTCAGCCAAGTCAAACATTAAACACCGTCTGCCGTCTCGCACGCCTTGCCTAAATCAGTGGTCGACAACCCATGACACACGCGCCATTGACGTGCCATTTCAATGACACGCGGAACAGCAGAAATATTTAAAAAATCGGGAGTGGGGGGAAAGAGTTTAAACGCGTTTGATAATTCATGCGGTAGATTTATAGGCAGTTGTCCCGTTACTTTTGAATAATATTACCAGGATGTTACCGTGTCTGGAACAAAGCAATAACAAGCTTCGTTGAGATACTCAAATGTCAAATTTCATTGAGATACTCAAAAATCAAAGTTTCATTGAGGTACTCAAATATCAAGTTTCATCGAGATACTAAAATATGCAATGCTTTTAAATTTACTTTCTCATTTAAACACATATTTTTTGTTTAGAACTTAAGCGCATAGCTTTACTTTAATTACATTAGAATAGAAGGCTGTAATGCGAATGTCAAGAGATGAAAAAAGGCCCTCGACTTTCTCACTGTTCTGCCCAGATGAAATATATTCGTTACGTTCAGCGATTCTCAACCTGTGGGTCGCGACCCCGTTGGGAGGGTCGTGCGACCCTTACACAGGGGTCGCCTAAGATCATAGGAGAACACAAATACATATTAATGGAGAGACAATGAAAATAATTTTATGGTCGTAGAGCTGTATTTAAGGCTCGCGCATTGGCAAGGTTGAGAACCACTGGCATAGATTGAGAACCATTAATATATATTTTTTTCGAATCCACCCAAATGTGTAACTTCGGCTATCGGTTTAAGATGGCGGCCAACACGCGACTCACCTGGATAGTGTACACTGTATACAGTATAGCTTAAACAAACATGGACTATTTATTCAATAAAAAGTTTCAAGATAAGCCAGCGCAGAGGCGAAGGTAAAAGAGTGGCCCTCCCTGAGAATCCATACTTTATTCTGCCCCCTTCCCACTCCCCCCACAAAAGAAATTATAAAGAAAAAAAATATATGCATTTTGCAGAAAATGCCGCCCGTCCTTGTAAAGAACAAAGTGCCGCCTGGGGCGTACCGCCCCCCCTACGCAGCCCCCTTCCTACGCTAGTCAATCAGTTGTATCTCAAACCCCTTTTTTTGTCCCATTGCTGCTAAAGTAACGCACACCCATTTCTGTCACATTACTGTGCTATAGTTACGCACACCCCCAGTTATGTCACATTACTGTGCTATAGTAACGCACACCCCCAGTTATGTCACATTACTGTGCTATAGTAACGCACACCCCCAGTTATGTCACATTACTGTGCTATAGTAACGCACACCCCCAGTTATGTCACATTACTGTGTTATAGTAACGCACACCCCCAGTTATGTCACATTACTGTGCTATAGTAACGCACAACCCCAGTTATGGCACATTAGTGTGCTTAGTAACGCACACCCCCAGTTCTGTCACATTACTGTGCTATAGTAACGTACACCCACAGTTCTGTCACATTACTGTGCTATAGTAACGCACACCCCCAGTTATGTCACATTACTGTGCTAAAGTAACGCACACCCCCAGTTATGTCACATTACTGTGCTATAGTAACGCACACGCCCAGTTCTGTCACATTACTGTGCTATAGTAACGCACACCCCCAGTTCTGTCACAGTACTGTGCTTTTAGTAACTCACAACCCCAGTTATGTCACATTACTGTGCTAAAGTAACGCACACCTAGTTCTGTCACATTACTGTGCTATAGTAACGCACACCCCCAGTTATGTCACATTACTGTGCTATAGTAACGCAACCCTATTCTGTCACATAACTGTGCTATAGTGATGCACACCCAGTTCTGTGACGATTCCGTGTTTTAGTGACACCCTGATATGGGTGCACATGTTTTAGTGAAACATGATCTGTTGGCACATGTTTTAGTGACACACTGATCTGATGGCACATGTTTTAGTGACACTCAGATCTGATAACACCCTTTAATGGGTGAACATGTTTTAGTGAGACCCTGTTCTGATGGTACATGTTTTAGTGACACCCTGCTATGGGTGCACATGTCTTAGTGAGACCCTGATCTGATAGCACATGTTTTAGTGAGACCCTGATCTGTTGTCACATGTTTTAGTGACACCCTGATCTGATGGCACATGTTTTAGTGACATCCTGATCTGTTGGCACATGTTTTAGTGACACCCTTGTATGGGTGCACATGTTTTAGTGAGACCCTGTTCTGATGGACATGTTTTAGTGACACACTGATATGGAGGCACATGTTTTAGTGATACCCTTATATCGGTGCACATGTTTTAGCGAGACCCTGATCTGATGGCACATGTTTTAGCGAGACCCTGATCTGATGGCACATGTTTTAGCGAGACCCTGATCTGATGGCACATGTTTTAGTGACACACTGATCTTGTGTAAACTTGCTTTTGTTTGGGACTTCGTTCAGTTATGAAATGGAATCCAGGGAACTCTCAAAACATTTCTTTTTTCTTTTTGATTTTGCCCCCTGCGTGTGCGTCGTCTGTTGGGGATCTGACCCCCCACCCCTACCCCATGCTAATGAGGTATTTATCACGCAAATAGTGCTGACCAGTTCTAAAAATACACGCTGAGCATGGCGCATTTTCTCATCATTTCCTATTTGAAAAAACTTGAACTATCTGTAGTCGCCATTTCCATTGATTGGCCCACCAAAGCGAAAGGCTGTAGTCTCATGCCCACGTCATCAGCTCACAAAATGGTGGAGTCTTCCTGGGTTTGAGACGGTCAGCATTTATGCCATCAGGCAAAACGTAATGGAAGACAAATTTTGATGAATATCATGTAACAGATCGAAATTATATATATACGTATATAAGTTAATAAATATACTTTGATTTTGTCTCTAGATTTGAAATAAATTGTTTAAAATATTGGAGTTATTGAATTCTGACACCATTTTATTTTGTTTCAGGTGCTGAGGCCAATCGGTTAGACCGCGCATACTATGCTTTAAGAATGGAGACGGTTGCCGACGTCGTCAAGCATTGGGCGGTCGCTGAACCGGATGCGGAAGTGCTGACATTTGTAAACAAACATGGCCGGCTGTGCGTGTACACTCCGTCGAGGATCTACACCGAGGCCGGGAGGTTCGCCTCGCGACTCCTGCAGTTCGGGTTCTCTCGCGGGGATGTCATTGCCAATGGGATACCCAACTCCCCCGAGAGGCTTGTGACGGACATGGGGATAATACTGTCAGGCTGCGTGACTGTCAACTGTCAGGTAAGTCAGTTTACGTAGTCGTGTGTTGGGTGTAGATGTTGGCAGTGACGGACACTTACTTGGGTTGTATGTGTAGGAACTGACTAGGGCTCTATGTGTAGGAACTGACTAGGGCTCTATGTGTAGGAACTGACTAGGGCTCTATGTGTAGGAACTGACTAGGGCTTTATGCCTGGGAAATGATTAGGGCTGTATGTCTGAAGACTGAATAGGGCTCTATGTATGGGAACTGGCTAAAGCTCTATGTCTGGGAACTGACTAGAACAAAGTATGCATGAAATATCCTTGTTCCTGTCAATGACCATTTATGTGCGAGAAAAAAAAACAACAACAAAATTATAAAAAAAAAAACTGCGCTGCTTTACATGTAACACTGCTTGCATCTACTTGTGACGGACCAGCAGATGCACTACGAAAGAACCTGTGCCAAAATTATAATTTTTTTTTCAAAAAGTGTACCTGTGCTGACCGGTGAATATAGGCTCCTAAGTCATCGCAGGTTCAACTATTTCGGAAGTGCTTTTTTTGGAAGCACGGATCTAAGGTACATTTGAATGATGATGCAAAAACATGTTGGACTACTGTATTTAAATTAATTAAAACTGAAATCCAATAACAGAAGATATGTTTTTTTTTGGCTACTTAAACGCTCATTGCTTGTATCCCGACCGTGTCTTTGCAGGTGTTTGAACGAGATGGGGCAGATTTTTGGAACACCGCCAACCTGGCCGGCTGCAAAGGGGTCATCGTGTCCACACGGAGCACCGACCCGGCGTTTCGACTCTTCCAGCCGCTCTTGCCGCAGCCGGATCAGACCTCCGGCTGTGCAGAAGTAACAACCCACCTGGCGAGCGGACTCCGGAAGGTCGTGCTGTGCAGCCGCGACGACACCGACAACACGTCTCTACTGCGGAGCCTGCAGTCCAGCGACGAGGAAATCTTCGTCTCTCAGATCGACCCCGACGATCTGGCCGTCCTGTTCGCCACCTCAGGAACTTCCGGATTCTGTAAGCTCGTGCCGAGGACCCACGCAGAAATCCTGCGGGCGGGCAGGTCGTTTAAAGGCGGGAAGGATGTGAAATATTTTTCCGACCGTCCGTTCGGATGGATGGGCGGATTTCCGTTTGATTACCTGGCCCACTGCTCACACAGGGTCTTACAGGTGAGGCTTTCCGTTTGATTACCTGGCCCACTGCTCACACAGGTTCTTACAGGTGAGGCTTTCCGTTTGATTACCTGGCCCACTGCTCACACAGGTTCTTACAGGTGAGGCTTTCCGTTTGATTACCTGGCCCACTGCTCACATAAGGGCTTACAGAACACAGGTTCTTACAGGTGAGGCTTTCCGTTTGATTACCTGGCCCACTGCTCACACAGGTTCTTACAGGTGAGGCTTTCCGTTTGATTACCTGGCCCACTGCTCACATAGGGTCTTACAGGTGAGGCTTTCCGTTTGATTACCTGGCCCACTGCTCACACAGGGTCTTACAGGCGAGGGCTTTCCGTTTGATTACCTGGCCCACTGCTCACACAGGGGGTTACAGGTGAGGCTTTCCGTTTGATTACCTGGCCCACTGCTCACACAGAGCGTTACAGGTGAGGCTTTCCGTTTGATTACCTGCGCTCTGGTATCGAGGAATATCATGAGCATGTTAATGAGAAATAGTACAGGCTTGAAGTAATAATTACAGCACCAGATTATGGAAACCCCCAACCATATTCGTGAAGACCATAAATTCAATTTAAAATTACTATTATTATTTTTGAAAATACAGACACAGGAATTAATGCCTAATATTTCAGATTTCACAATAAAAAAAAAAAAGAAAAATAAAAAGAAAGAAAAGACGTTTATTCTTGTCAGTGGTGTAGGACGGGGTGCCAAGGGCGCAGCCCGACCTTAGGGGGGGGGTCCCTTTTTCCTTATAATTAAGAGGCTGGATTTTGTCTGTCAACTGCAGTAACTGCAGATTTTATTGGGTGGTTCTAGTCCTTGGTTGTTGTATGTTTACTAATATTTCAGATTTCACAATAAAAAAAAAAAGAAAAATAAAAAGAAAGAAAAGACGTTTATTCTTGTCAGTGGTGTAGGACGGGGTGCCAAGGGCGCAGCCCGACCTTAGGGGGGGGGGGTCCCTTTTTCCTTATAATTAAGAGGCTGGATTTTGTCTGTCAACTGCAGTAACTGCAGATTTTATTGGGTGGTTCTAGTCCTTGGTTGTTGTATGTTTACACTAATACGATATACAACAACAACTACTGCTGGGTACAAGTCAAACAGACATCTGGTCACAGTCATGATAATCACCTATTATTTAAAACAACAATCATATATTGTGATCAAATTAAATATAATGGCAACAATTGCATATTTTAATATAAAAAAATCACATACTTTAACAACATCACCCATATTATAATAGCTAACAGCACACATTTCGTATACAAAAAGAGCATCGGCCATTTCCAAATTTCTAAAACGAACGTTGCTATTTTTAGCACGCTAACTCAGACGCCTCGTGGAGTGTGCACGTAAGCTATAAATAGATTGATTGATTGGGCAGCCAAAAACTAACGACCGAAACAAATGCAACGTTCACCTTACTGTTGTTATGATGTTTGGTGCAGGACAAATACAGTGGGGAACAGGCCCTCATCAGCCGTGACCTCTGGACAGTGATCAGTCGCGAGAAGTGTACCGGCGCGGCCATTTTGCCCTTGACCTTGCTGGAACTTATTGAAGACTTCAAGGACACCAAGCCGGAGTTCAAACTGCCGTTTATTGTTACGGGCGGACAATCAATCAAAAAGGTTTGTGGCTTTCCACCTCTTAAACTTGAAGCATAACTTATGTGATTCGCAAACCTTCTGACATACAGTTTATGTGATAAGCAAACTATCTGACATACAGTTCATGTGATAAGCAAACCTACTGACATACAGTTCATGTGATAAGCAAACTATCTGACATACAGTTCATGTGATAAGCAAACCTACTGACATACAGTTTATGTGATACGCAAACCTTCTGACATACAGTTTATGTGATAAGCAAACCTCTTGACATACATTTTATGTGTTAAGCAAACCTTCTGACCTACAGTTTATGTGATAAGCAAACCTTCTAACATGCAGTTTTATGTGATAAGAAACCTTCTGACAAAAAGTTCATGTGATAAGCAAACCTCCTGACACTCAGTTTTTGTGAAACGCAAAACTTCATACACACAATTTATGTGATACGCAAAACTTCATACACACAATTTATGTGATACACAAAACTTCATACACACAATTTATGTGATACGCAAATCTTCCTACAGACCAGTTTAAGTGATACCAAAACCTTCACACACACACACACGTTAATGTGATAAAGCAAACCTCCTGACCTACTTCCCCCACCTGTTCTATTGTACAGAACCTATCGGCCGCCCTGGGCCTGCTGACCGACAACATCGTGGTGTCCTACTCGTCCTCCGAGGTCGCCATGGTGTGTGTCGGCAACATCACGGCCACTGACCAGTTCAATGATTTCTACTCTGGGAAGCCCAGTCCAGGCATCGAGATCCTCATAGTCGATGAGCAAGGGAGAAAGCTGGGTCCGAACCAAGAGGGCGAGATTTATATCAAATGTAAGTACGTCGTGAAGGTGTGCGTACACGTACGTCGTCAAAGTGTGTGTACACGTACATCGTCAAAGTGTGCGTACACGTGCTTCATTGAAATGTTTACGTTGGTAAAGTGTGTGTAAATTTACGTTGTTAAAGTGTGTGTACACGTACGTTGTTAAAGTGTGTGTACACGTACGTTGTTAAAGTGTGTGTACATGAACGTCGTGAAAATAAGTGTACACGTACGTCGTTAAAGTGTATGTAAACGTACGTTGTTAGAGTAATTTTACGTCACAGCCAACGGTTAGTGTTCTGACCTATGGCATCACGCAGGGTTGTAAAGTAATCGGTCACAAACAACACCAATCTGTTGTACAATTCTGTTGACTTGAGACCAGCTGAGCACCATGATTTAATGACAGCACGGGCAATATCCCTAAATAGCGCCCGGAGACGAACATTTACCTATCATATAACATTGGTAGCGTTCACATACCTAGGTACACAAATTATTGGATGTATTCGAACTGTGCTCGACTTAACTATGTTGCTCAAGGGCGATTAGTCTGTGTGCTTAGAGACATTCCATTTATGTCTGGGGTGCTTTCAGGCCAGCCACACTGACCCAGATGGAGTGCTTCCAGGCCAGCCACACTGACCCAGATGTGGTGCTTCCAGGCCAGCCACACTGACCCCGATGTGGTGCTTCCAGGCCAGCCACACTGACCCCGATGTGGTGCTTCCAGGCCAGCCACACTAACCCCGATGCATTGCGTTTCTTGTCATTTAACAGTTTCCATTTCTATGTACCTTGTTTATCAACAGTTTCCATTCTACTGTACCATGTTTATCAACAGTTTCCATTCTACTGTACCATGTTTATAAACAGTTTCCATTCTCCTGTATCATATTTATCAACAGTTTCCATTCTACTGTACCATATTTATCAACAGTTTCCATTTCTCTGTACCATGTTTATCAACAGTTTCCATGTCTCTGTACCATGTTGATCAACAGTTTCCTTTCTTCTGTTTCAGCACCTTTCATGATGACCAACTACTACCCGCCCCAGCCCATCAGCTCAATTTTTAGCCCAGATGGCTTTTTCAAAACCGGCGACCGGGGCCTGCTGACCGAAGCTGACCACCTGTACTGCTACGGCCGGGCGGGTGAAGTGATCTCCCAGGGAGCTGTGCTCGTGTACACCAGCTGGCCGGAAGGGATTCTGGGGAAATGCCCGGACGTAAGTGATGCCATCGTGGTCAACATGCCGGACACGTCCGGTGAAGACAGACTCATCGCTTGCGTTGTACCGAGACCAGGCTCCGGCCTGACCAAGGCGAAACTGTTGCATTTTTACCAGTCATCTTTCATGTCGATGCCATCATCATCCCAGCCTCCCACGTCTCCATCAGTATTTTGTCGTCCTGAAATATCGGACATCTTGTTCTTTGAACAGTTTCCGGAGACACAGACAGGAAAAGTTAGCACGCGGGACTTAAAATCCATTGTCAGACAAAGACTGGCATTGTAGTTCTCTTGTTGAAATCCATTGCCCAACAAAGACTGGCATTGCAGTTCTGTTGTTGAAATCCATTGTCCAACAAAGACTTGCGTTGTAGGTCTGTTGTTGAAATCCATTTTCAGACAAAGACTGGCATTGTAATTATGTTGTTGAAATCCATTGTCCCACAAAAACTGACATTGTGATGTTAAAATCCATTATCAGACAAGTCAGAATGGCTGGCATTGCTGTTCTTTTGTTAAAATCCATTATCAGACAAGTCAGAATGGCTGGCATTGCTGTTCTCATGTTATAGTCATTGTAAGATAAACACACGGGAAGTAGGTCTTGTATCCAAGGTTGGATTAATGTTACTTAATTGTCAGGTAACAGTAATCTAACCAAGATTTTTCTATATCCGTTATAAAATGGACATGTTAAATAGTCCTAACTTAAATATCCATATCAATCTATAAATATCAGTTGATATATATACATATTTATATATATTTATTAATTGATAAAGATATAATTTATATAAATATATATAATTCATAGATATAATAAATATATTGAATTGATATTTATAGATATAATAAATGTATTGATACATAAATATTTATACATACATTTTTAATGTGACAGAGTTGTTTTTTTTTAATATATCTGTTTGATGACAGCTGAGTATAACTACGATAAATGACAATATCTGAAGAGCAGACCTTTAGTGTCAAATTAATGTATACTTTTTTTTTCAAAACAAATAAATGAATTCCTTCATGTATCTTAAAACCCCAGATAAGAATATTGCCCCTAGATACCCTACAAGAATATTCCCCCTAGGCAAGAATCAAGAATATTTCCCCTAAACATGAGTTTTCCCCTTTTAAACCAGACAAGATTATTGCCCCTTGATCCTAGAAGACAAGAATATTTCCCATCGACAAGAATATTGCCCTTAGACAGCCCTAGATCCCAGTCAAGAAAATTTATCCTAGACAGAACTACAGCCCAGCTTCTACTACACATGCGCCAGAGCCATAGTCCATACGCCTACACCAACTACAACATTAGATTTGCCCAGATGGTTTCTACACCACATACCTGTATATTTACCCCAGATTTGAACGTGTGTCACAATATAAGCTTAGCGATAACAAGAAGCGTGTCACAACATGAGCTCAGTGTTCAAGAGAGTGTCACACTGTAAGCTCAGTGTTCAAGAGAGTGTCACACTATAAGCTCAGTGAAAAACTGAAAAAATTCAAGTCATTAATTATTCGCCTTTATGTGTAAAACGTGATAACAATTTCCATGGGAGTTAAAAACTTCCGGGTTCAGGTCCTAACCTCGTACATGATTATTGCCCTTGTTTATGCCCATCGCCCCCCTCCCCTCCCCTCTCCCCATGTGCCAAGCGCCCCTAGCCCCCATCCATGCCTCACCCCAACCCTCGGCATGACAAGCCGCTATTTCAGATACTTTTGGCTAGGGTCTATGATGAATTGTATATGTTTAGATAGTTTGCATGCTAACAGATATGTATCATTTAGTCGGGGAAAAAATATGCGCAACTTTTGTCAATGCCCCCACTCCCCCGGGGCACGTAGTGAGTTAATTTAAAATCTGGACGTCGGCATAAATTCTGTCCAGGTGGATATGATCGGGGACAACAAAACCTCAAAGATTTTTCCAACACATAATATTAGGGCAGTGGTTCTCAAACTGCCATTTTGCGGTGACCCCCAACCATAAAATTATTTTCGTTGCTACTTCATAAATATGTGTCCCCTGTGTAAGGGTCATTCAGCCCTCTAAGGGATCGCGACCCACATGTTGAGAACCACTGTATTAGGATATTAAAAAAAATATTATTGTTTAAATTAATAATTTTATGTTGATTAGGAATATATGTTGGGTAAAATCTCTATTTTAATTATTTGGACGTTTATCAACGCAATTTATGATTATAAATAAGTCAAATTGTCATTAAATTTTATGATAGCGCTCTCTTAAGAGTACACAGGAGGCGACCAATTCGAGTAATGTTTCTTTATTTATCCGTTGAAATGAGAGCATTTCACACTACAGTAACCGTGGTTTCCACTAAGACACTTGATGCTCTCTCCCCAAAACAACATCACACGACAGGGATTCCCTGAATTGGAATCCTCAAGGTACCAGGAAAAGACGAAGACCAAGAGCCGCAGGGAAGAAGGGGGGGGGTAGGGGGTAGAGTCAGAGGTGGAGTCAATGAAGAATAGTTGGGGTGAACCAACAAAGGCTGCCCAGGACAGGGGCAGATGGAAATATATGGTGGACGGCCTATGCTCCAGTGGAAGTGAGAAAGGCTAAAGAAAAAAAATGAAATTTTGTTGTGGCAGCCATTATAACACTGGTAACACGGTCCATCATCTGACACTCCAGCACCAAAGACTTAGCTGTACAGCACACACAAAATGTAGACGTCTATCATTTGTTGGTTGAAATTAAAAAGAGTTATTTTTTTTCTAAAGGGATTGATACAACCGCGTGGTTCATTGTAAATGCCTTAGCGTTTTTTTTTATGATTTAAGTTCCACTTTTGAGACCATTTTAAAGCACATTAGCAGCATAGAGACTATTTTAAAGCACCTTATCATCATTGGGACCATTTTAAAGCACCTTATCAACATTGAGACCATTTTAAAGCACCTTATCAACATTGAGACCATTTTAAAGCTCATTATCAACATTGAGACCATTTTAAAGAACCTTATCATCATTGGGACCATTTTAAAGCACATTAGCAATATAGAGACCATTTAAAGCACCTTGTCATCATTGGGACCATTTTAAAGCACCTTATCAACATTGATACCATTTTAAAGCACCTTATCAACATTGAGACCATTTTAAAGCTCATTATCAACATTGAGACCATTTTAAAGAACCTTATCATCATTGGGGCCATTTTAAAGCACATTAGCAATATAGAGACCATTTAAAGCACCTTGTCATCATTGGGACCATTTTAAAGCACCTTATCAACATTGATACCATTTTAAAGCACCTTATCAACATTGAGACCATTTTAAAGCACATTATAGACATTGGGACCATTTTAAAGCACCTTATCAACATTGAGACCATTTTAAAGAACCTTATGAACAATGAGGCTATTTTACAGCACCTTATCAACATTGAGGCTATCGAAAGGAAATTTAGTCGAATCTTTTTGTCATTTTTTTTTCTTTTTTACGTTAAAATTTTGCTTTAAATTTCTTTTTGAACGCATTATTTTGTTTTACTATATAGTAAAGTGCATTCAAAAAGAAATTTGACGAAAATTGTATTTCTGAACTGAAAAAAAAAAGATTTGACCAAAGTTCCGTTCGATCAAATTTCCGTCGATCAATTTACCACTGACGAAATTTCTTTCGATCAAATTTCCGCTAACCGTGCATATATGTCTCCATCAACTTTTTAGTGCCGTAAGCAAGTATGTGAGAAATTGTGCACCAATATATACAATTTAATTGTTGTTTTTTTTTCCCCGTACAGAGTATAACCCCTTAATTACCGGTTTACACTATGCAGACGATCAAACGCCACTAAGGGATGTAAGTCAGTATTTATGTGTTGTTTTCCTTCAGTGGCGAAACCTTTTATTCCGATGAAATCCTACCTACCGGTTAATTGATTCGTTGTCTGAAGTGTTGCGACGAGTTCCTTTCTTCATATTTTTTAAAAAGTTCTTATATTTTATTCAGGCTTTTCAAAATGATACATGATTGAAAGCATCATTTTTAAAGAAATAGTAAAAAAAAAAAGAAATAAAAAAAAAAGAAATCGAAACAAATATTGAAAGAACATTATTTATGTCTGTCGTTATGTCGTATCGCATCTTGTATACTCGGTATATGTCATATATATATATATATATA